TCATACTTCAGACACATTATCAGGAGGTACCAGTCCCTGGAGAAGGACATCATGCTTGGTAAAGCTGAGGGTCAGCAAAGAGGATGAACTCCAATGAGATGGACTGACACAGTGGCAGCAACAATGTAACAATTGTAAGGATGGCACAGGATCAGACAGTACTTTGTTCTGTTGTTCATAGGGTCACTATGAGTTGGGCCTGACTCTATGGCATCTAACAACAACTTCCTGTCCTGAAAAGGGAATGTCCTGCCAGGGTTCTATGACATGGCTTCAAGCAGGAGCCTGAAAGGACCAAAGAATTCACTCTTCTCTTCTATCCATAGCCCTACCCCTAATAGCTTTCTGACCCAGGAGTTGATGTGGACAAAAGCCAGAAAATTATTTTTTTAATGAAAGGTTTCAGATAAGATGTATTATTGGGAGGTTGGGGGAATCCATTAGGTAAGGTTTAAGAACAATGACCTCTAGATTACTAGGGAGACATTTTGAAGCAAAGGAAGTAGAGAAAAGACTAGGCCAAGTAAGAAAAAGACTAGATCTTTAAATTTTTCATCTGTCTCATATATGAGTCTTTGCTTCTTTGGGGATTTGGAAACATTCATTCATACAGCAAACATGTGATGAGTACTTACTAGGCCTCTCGATTTTGCAAAGAGTGGGTATAGAGGAAAGCAAGCAAGCATGAACTCTGTCATCATAGATTTTGCCCTGTAGGATAATGTTGCTGTTTAAATGATTAGTGGAGGTAGATATTTACTGTAAGAATTTAGATTTCTCTAAATGTATAACAAGGAGCCTGGTGGTACAATAGACAAGTAAATGCTTGGTTGCCTATTGAAAGGTCAGTGTTTCAAACTCACCAGTGGCTTTATGGGAGGAGATCACCTGGGAGAAAAGACCTGGTCATCTGTTGCCTTAAAGATTATAGCCTAGGAACCCTTTGTTCTACTGTGTCTTATAGAGTTGCTATGAATCAGAATCTACTCGGTGCCACACAACAACATAATGACATAATTAGTACTGAAGATGTTCTGGACTTGATAGCAATTTATTTTCATTATCTTTTGTCCAGCAGTTTGAGAGAGACCTCCGGCGCTATGCTACGCATGAGCGGAAGATGATGCTGGATAACCATGCTCTGTATGACAAGACCAAGGTAGATTCTTCTCCCTGAGGTCCTCAGATGGGTTACTTTGACCTTCACCCCAATGCTGGCTCCCTGAGCACTATCCTGAGCTGATTTTAGTGTTCAGACACAGTTTTCATTGTGTAAGTGTCTTGTTCCCACAGATCATAGTTGAGGGCATCTGGAAGGTCCCAGCTGGCCCAGAATGAATGCACCTCAGAAGCTTTTGGCTGAAAGAGGATGCACTAGTTGGGCCTCCAGAACCACTGTAGCAGTGGGCACCTATTGAGCTTGTATGTCCTTGGTATTTGCAATGAGTGACTTCAAAGAAAACTGAGGATCCCCGAAATCACAAGTACCATTCTAGGATTCCTTAAATTCAGTGGACAGTAGCATCTTTTTGTTTTGTTTAAAAAAAAAAAAGAAAAAACAAAACACCATTTAATTAACCTTCATGTAGTTTCAAGCCACCAGGACACAGGGTCCCTGCCACTCCCCAACACGCTTAATCTTCTCCTCAGCTCTTCTGCTGAAGAATTTACCCTTCACAATGACACATTGTTTGGGAAACTTTCCCTTCCCCAGAACTTTGTAGTAACCAGATCGCACAACATCAATGATAGGCCCAGACCCAGTCTTGCTTTTTGGCAGCATTTACCCTTGTCTGCTCACTGTCCAAGGTCCACAATTTATCAAGGTTGACAGTTAGGCAGAAACTCTGGTTCCTCTTCAAGTGATAATATCTCATACCCTTGTTCCCAAAGTAATCTGAATGATATTTATCGAAGTTGATCCTATGGTGATGCAAACCATCAGCATTACCCCAGCCTCCAGGGTGCTTCCAGTACTTGCTGATGTGGCCATGGTTGTGGCTCACATGGCTTCTAAGATTCCCGGTCTTCGTCAGTCTGGGTGGCATGTCAGCTGCCTAGATGAAAGAGACTGGACAGAAGTAGCATCTTGGGTGAGTTCTTGGCCATTAACGAGAGTCTACTGTATTCATTAGGCAAATCTGCTGCACAAGACATTTTTAAAATGTTGAAGAGCAAAGATGTCAGCTTGAGGACTAAGGTACGCCTGACCCAAGCCATGGTATTTTCAATAACCTCATATGCATGCAAAAGCTGAACAGTACATAAGGAAGACTGTAGAAGAATAGATGCATTTGAATTATGGTGTTGGAGGAGAATATTGAAAGTGCCATGGGCTGCCAAAAGAACCACCAGATCTATGTTGGAAGAAGTGCGGCCAGAGTGCTCCTTGGAGGCCAGGATGGCCAAACTCTGTCTCTCATACTTCAGACATATTGTCAGGAGGGACCCATCACTGGAGAAGGACATCATGTTTGGTAAGGTGGAGGGTCAGAGAAAAAGAGGAAGACCCCTCCAGCAAGATGGATTGGCCAAGTGGCAGCATCGATGGAATCAAACGTGGCAACAATGGTGAGGTTGACCCAGTATTGGGCAGTGTTTCGTTCTGCTGTACATAGAGTCGCTATGAGTCGGTACCAACTCGATGACACCTAACAACAACAACTGTATTCATCATCAAAAAGAACATTTCCAGATCTGCCTTGAAGTCCAATGCTGTATGTGATAGCATAATATATACACGCCTACTTAAGGTCAGCAGTTCGAAACTACCAGCCGCTCCGCGGGAGAAAGATAAGGCTTTCTACTCCCATAAAGATTTACACCCTTGGAAACCCTGTACAGGGTCGCTATGGGTCGGAACCAACTCGACGGCACTTCACAACAACAACAACAACAACAAGGAAGACCAGTTAAAATCACTATTATTCAAATTTATGCACCTACCACTAAAGTCAGTGATGATGATATTGAAGAATTCTACCAAATTCTTTAGTCTGAAATTGATCAAACATGAAATCAAGATGTATTGATAATTACTGGTGATTGAAATATGAAGGTTTGAAACAAAGAACAAATATCAGTAGCTGGAAAATTGGCCTTGGTGATAAAAATGATGATAGATATTGTGTGATAGAATTTTGCAAGACCAATGGCTTCTTCATTGTAAATACCTTTTTAAAACAACATGAAAGATGATTATATACATGGACTTCACCAGATGGAATACACATAAATCAAATTGACTACATCTCTGGAAAGAGACGGTGGAAAATCTCTATATCATCAACCAAAACAAGACCAGAGGCAGACTGTGGAGCAGACTATCAATTGCTCATATACAAGTTCAAGCTGAAGCTGAAGAAAATTAAAACAAGTCCACAAGATTCAAAACACGACCTTGAATATATCTTACCTGAATTAAAAGTTCATCTGAGAAATAGATTTGGTGCATTAGACACTAAAGACTGAAAAATAGAAGAATTGTGGGATGACATCAAGAGCATCATACAGGAAGAAAGCAAAAGGTCATTAAGAAGACAAGAAAGAAGGAAAAGACCAAAATGGATGTCAGAAGAGTCTGTGAAACTTGCTCTTCAGCATAGAGATGCTAAAACAAATGGAAGAAATGAGGAGGTGTAAGAGATGAACAGAAAATATCAAAAGGCAGCTCAAGAAGACAAAGTCAGATATTATAATGTGCAAAGATCTGGAATTAGAAATCCAAAAGTGAAGAACACGCTCAGCATTTCTCAAGCTGAAACAACTGAGGAAAAATTCAAGCCTTGACTTGAAATATTGAAGGATTCTTTGGGCAAAGTACTGAATGATACAGAAAGCATCAAAAGAAGATGGAAACAATACAGAATCACTGTATCAAAAAGAAATGGAAAGAAATGGTTGATGTTTAATCTTTTCAAGAGGTAGCATATGATCAAGAGCCAATGATAATGAAGGAAGAAGCCCAACCTTCACTGAAGGCACTTGGCAAAAAGAATTGATGGAATACAAATTGAAATCATTCAACAAATTGAGGTAGAACTGCAAGCACTCAGTTAGCTATGCCAAGAAATTTGGAAGACAGCTACCTGGCCAATTAATTGGAAGAGATCCATATTTGTGCCCACTCCGAAGAGAGGTGACCCAACAGAATGCAGAAATCATAGGAAAATATCATTAACATCACATGCAAGTAAAATTTTGCTAAAGATAATTTAAAAATGAATGCAGCAATACATTGACAAGGAACTGCCAGAGGTTCAAGCTGGATTCAGAGGAGAATGTGAAATAAGTGATATCATTGCTGACGTCAGGTAGATCATGACTGAAACAGAGAATACCAGAAAGATGTTTACCTATGCTTTCTTGACTATGCAAAATCTTCTGACTGTGTGAATCATGGCAAACTATGGACCACATTGTGGAGTATGAGTATTCTGAAACAATTGTGCTCATGAGGAGCTTGTACATAGACCAAGAGGCAGTTGTTCAAATGGTTGTTCAAATGAATGATTTAAAATCAAATGAAAGTGTGACTAGGGTTGTATTCTTTCACTATACTTATTCAATCTGTATGCTAAGTGCATAATCCTAGAAACTGAATTATATGCAAAAGAATGTGGCATCAGGATTGGAGCTAGACTCATTAGTGATGTGCAGATGATACAAGCTTGCTTGCTGATAGCAAAGAGGACTTAAAATCCTTACTGATGAAAACCAAAGACCACAGCACCTCAGTGTAAAGAAAACAAAAATTCTAATCACTTGAGTAATAAATAACATCATGACAAATGGAGAAATGAATCTTGCAGAATAAACACTCAACTGTTAACCACAAGATCGGCAATTCAAACCCACCAGCTTCTCCTTGGAAATCCTAACAGGGTCTCTATAACTCGGAACTAACTCCAGGCACTTAACAACAACAACAAATGGAGAAAAGATAGAAGTTGTCAAAGACTTCATATGGCTTGGCTCCATACTCACGGAAGCAGCAGTCAAGAAATCAAACAACATCTTGCATTCAACAAATCTACTGCTCAAGATCTATTTAAAATGTTCAAGAGCAAAGATGTCAGTTTGAGAACTATAATACACCTGATCCGAGCCACGATATTTTTAATAGCTTCATTTGCATGTAAAAGTTGGGCAGTGAATAAGGACGATCATAGAAGAATTGATGTATTTGAGTAAAGGCGTTGGAGAAGACTATTAGAAGTACCAACAAGGAAGAACAAACAGAACTGTGTTGGAAGAAGTACAACCGGAATGCTCCCTGGAAGCCAAGATGGCGAGACTTCATCTCTCATACTTCGGACATATTATCAGGAAGGACCAGTCCCTGGAGAAGAATTTCATGGTAGGTAAAGTGGAAGGTCAGTCAAAAAGAGGAAGACCCCTGCTCAAGTTAATAACGCTTGTGAGGGTGACACAGAACCAAGCAGTGTTTCGTTCTGTTGTGCTTAAGGTCAATATGAGTTGGAATTGACTCAACAGCACGCAATAACAACATTGCAAGAATAGAGAGCCACAGAGCTGCCCTGCAATAGAGATGGGCAGTTATTTGCTAAGTGACTCATTTGGGATTCTTGCCTTGCAGAGGTTATGATCTAAATTTATGCATCAACAAAATGATAAATTACTGTATGAATTATGAAGAGTTAAGTATTCAACTGCTAACTCCACAAATATCATGGTTCTTACAGTGGACAAAGACACTAACCTATGTTCCAAAGAGAAAGGAGGCACACAAGAACTTAGAAGAAATGATACTTGCCCTATAGGAGTTAATAGGCTTTGGTCAGGAAAGAGAATTTAGCATCCAAGGGTAATACTGGCTTCAGGTATGGCTGTATCCAAGTGCTGAGGTAGACTTTCCATGGTGTTGGCTTTATGCTCAGGCAGAATTTTCTCCTGAGTTACATCCTTCTAGCTTAGCTATTCCAACAGAGAGAAAAGCTTTTTTCCTAATAGTTCCACAAGAATCCTCGATGATGCTCATGGACCAGGGCTGGGTCATTTTCCCGTCCTTGGAGATCAGAGTGGGGTGTTCTCCACTTCAACCTCATGAACTGAAAGTAAGGAGGCATGATTTCCCAATGAAAACTGGAAGTGCTGCTGCCAACAGGGAGCCATGGATGCTAGCAAGCAAGCCTCCTATGCCAAGTGTGTGAGTGGAGTTATATTCATATAGCACAATTTAGGAACACTTAAAAATTAACACATAAGAAATAGTTCACTGTGAGCAAGTGTCTACTGAAGTGTGCTGTATAGAAGGAATGGAGAAGCAGTGGGTGGGAAGGAACGAAAGACTGGGAGGAGAAGCCAGCACATATAAATATCCTGTAATTACCTACAGCAAGAGCATAATTCTGGCGGCACATTGTAATTATCCAGTGAGCTTTTAAGTAGACAGACGCCAAGATTTCTTGCCCTGCGATTTTGATTTCTTTGGATCAGGTATGCCTTAAGTGTTAGTTATAAAAGCTCCTTCAGGTGGTTGTAAGGAACAGCTGTGGTTAAGAATTACAGACCCATAAGAAAAAAAAATCCCAAAGTCTTTTGCTGAATGTGTAAAGATGTTACCATTCTATCTTAATTGGGTAGGAAAATATGAAGATCACAGAATTTAGTTAAGATACGTTTTTAGACTCAAAACCAATTACGTTTGGACAAGAATTCATTCTGACAAGGCAGTTTTGCAAGTAGTAATTTCACTGTCATTACTGGGATGCTTAACAACAATATTTGAATGTACATATTTCTTATTGTTGTGTTTCTAGAGGATATTTCTGAAAGCAGAGAGTGAAGAAGAAATTTTTGCACATCTGGGATTGGATTACATTGAACCCTGGGAAAGAAATGCCTAGAAAAAAGCTGTGGACTTTTTTTTTTTTTTTTTTTTCTGTGTTTTGTTTGTTTGCTTGGTTTGTTTTTAGTGTTTTGGGTTTATTTGGTTTTGTTGTTTGCTACATTGTGTTGTAATATAAAAGCAAGTTAAATAACTATGCTTAGTATTGTAATAAAAGTCTTCCTTAGGAGACTTTAGGATTCTTGAAGCCTTATGAAATGTAGATTGCCACTAGCAAAAGATTGTTTTGGAAACATGATAAGGCAACACCTCATAATGGGTTTTGCTCTAATAGACCATTTGTATGTCTGTTGCTTAGATTTCACATTACATTGCATTTTTCCATAGAAAAGGCATCATCATTGATGGTTCATTTTCCTGGAAGCTCATCAAACTAGACTTTGCCACAGTCTAACTGAAGTGCTATGTATTTCCATTAAAAATAGGAGGAAACACGATGGTGGAGTCTTCTCTTTTTTTCCACTTAAATGTTATAAAAATACTTTTAAACAAAAACATAACAGAGTGGAATAAGAAATAGTTTCAGAAATATCGTAAGGGAAAAAACAAGTTTAACGAGAAGATGCAGAGATTCTGAAGGGGATTCTGGGTCCCTTCTGGAAGAGAAGGACTCGCACTTGGCTCTGGCTCAACTAAGTTCTAAGCCTGCTTCTCCACCCATCACTGTGGAACTGTGTCACTAGGTGCCCCTGCCTAAGGCCACATCAGGGAATATGCCCACTATTTTCACTTGGAAGGAAGGAGAATTTCCTAAAGCACCAAAGGAACATCTTTCTTTTTTTCCCATCTTGGAGTCTCCCTCTACATCTTAGTAGTGCCATCTCTCTCAGGAAAATGATCCCTCTTTTTTTGCCTCTTCATCTCAGGGCACCAAGATATGAAAGGCAGCACTAGCTGAGGCAGGCTTTGGATCTCCCAGGCTCAATTCTGCCCTAGAAGTTTCTCCAGGAGGGCATAGACCCTATGACTCAATGGGGCTTGAAATCTGTTGTGGTTACTCTGTGTCCTCACCCTGCTAAGGAACTAGGATCTCCCATGGCTACTCTTCTCTCTTCCTTCCAGCCTTTTCAAGGAGGAAGATAGCGGGAGATCTGGGTAGAAGAAGAGTGATTCCTTCCTTCATTTCCTGGTGTGTTGAGACCTGGAGATGGGGTATGGGTCAGCTAGTTTTGCCAAATTGCTCCCTACGAAACCATCCCCAAGCTATGTGGCCTAAACCAAAAACACCAATCTGCACGATGGCTGGAAGTTGGTTGATCTACGCTGAGCTCTGTTCTCCAGAGCCCTCATCATCATGTCCCTGAAACCAGTAGACTAATCAGAGACACCAGAGAAAGGAAGCTGAAGTGTGCACACAGCTTATATCCCAGTGTAAGCCTGGAGGGTGGGGGATAATGCCCTATCCATGGTGGGAGGACACTGCAGTTATGTCGCAAAAGGGCATGCATGTAGGGTGGGGTGAAGAATTGTGATCATAAATGAAAGTTACTTTAGGGAGTCAAGTATTTAGTCCTTTTTCATTCTTTTCTCTTCCCATTAACTGTCTCACTTACCCCTGATCAATCTCAAGGAAAGGCCATCCTGGTAAGTCTGGGGACAGCATGCTTCTGCTCAGCAGGAGCATTGAGCTCTGATGGCAAAGATGGTGGCAGGTTCAGAGGAGAGGAGACTTCTGGGAGAGAAGGAGGACTTGGCTACAGACAGAAACTCACTCCATTGAGGAAGAAAGACCTTGTGGCATCCCTATATTGCCAAGTCTAACCATCAGGACATATAAGAGGCCACCATACCCCTCAGTAGGAGCCCTGGTGGCGGAGTGGATTATGAGCAAGGTCAGCAGTTGAAATCTACCAGTGGAAGAGAGATGAGACTCTCTGCTTCTATAAAGATTTACATCCCTGGCAACCACATACAGGGTCGCTATGAGTTGAAATCAACTCAATAGCCCACTATCCTCTCCATGGGAGAAAGACGAGGCTTTCAACTCCCACAAAGATTTAAAGCCTTGGAAACCTTATGCAGGGTTGCTGTGAGTCAGAATCGACTTGATGGCACTTAACAACAACATCCTTCAGTATCATATACTAACTACACAGACTCTCTGCTTTAAGTACTCTGGCTGGTTCCCATTTTATCAGTCCTGGTGTGGCACTGTGGGTTAATGCGCCAGACTGCAAAGCCATTTGAACTGCAAGGTCAGCAGTTCAAGCTCAACAGCCACTCCTCGGAAACCCTATACAGGGTCGCGATGAGTAGGAACCAACTCAGTGGCACTTCACAACAACAACAATAATATCCCTGAAATCTGTAGGACATCTGCTTTACTAATGAGAGAAAGCTGAGGGGCTGGCCCCAAGATAACCTCTGATATGCTCCCCATATCTAGTATATCCTCAAGGCTGACTGAGGAGTGGGAGGGGGAAATGGAGGTGGAATCCTAGGTCCAGGGCAGTCAGAGTTTAAGGTCCAAAATCCATGACTCTTTGTTTGGAGAGGCCTGGAAAACAAGGAAAGAAAATTAACCACCAAAAAGCATGCCAGAAGCGGGGAATAGTTAATCTTTCAGTCCAGGAACAGAGGACTCTAGGACCATGAAGGGAGAAGAGCATGAGCAGAATGTGGGATCATAACCAAGGAAGCTGCGACACCAGAGATGGAGGCAGAGATGATGACATGGAGAGATACAGCAGCTGAGGACTCTAGACTCACGGAAAGAGAAAGGCTGTGTGCTGGCAGCCAAGAGCAGGCTTACAGAATGTGCCCTTTGGTTGTTTAAATAATTACATATTCCTGAGTGTTTTGGTGTACATCAAAAACAAAAACAAACAAACAAACAAACAAAAAACCCAGAGGAATTAGAAGACAGTACTGTTGAATGATGATGCATGGAAGAGATTGTAATCATTGCAATGAAATGAAGTACGATGTTGTTGTTAAGTGCCATCGAGTCAGCTCTGACTCATAGTGACCCTGAACAGGGTTTCTGAGGCTGTAAATCTTTACGGGAGCAGAACGCCTCATCTTTCTCCCACGGAGCGGCAGGTAGTTTTGAACTGCTGGTCTTAAGGTTCACAGCCCGATTCATAACCACTACGCTACCAGAACTCCTTATATAGCCTTAGAAACTCTTTGGGGTGGGCTGGGGGATCTCTGTGGGCTTCAGAGACCACAGGCGGAGGTGAGGTGGAATGTCTTTACAGAGGAGGTAGAGCAGAGATTGGACCAGGTTTTAAAGTGTGATTCAGACACACACAGGGTGAGGTGGGAAGGTGAGGGGTACTTATGAATTCAAACTCAGAGGCTGGGAAAGGAATGTGGTGTTCTACAGACAAGACAGAGGGTGGGTAAAACAGAACTTTTGGTTTCAGAATCAACATCTAGAAATGAACTTCCCAAGCCTTCTCTTTTAGATTTTAAATTTGAAAGGCATAAAAAGAAGTGTTTGCAATGTGTGACAGGGTCAAAAACTGACACCCCCTGGGCCTAGTCCAGCCCATAGATGTATTTTGTTTGGGCTGCATGGTGTTTTGGGAATTTTTGAATTGATAGTTATTATGAATTGCTACAAAAGCCCTGTTGGCACAGAGGTTAAGAGCTCACTACTAACCAAAAGTTGGTGATTCCAGGCCAGTCAATTTCTGTAAAGATGACTGCCTTGGAAACTCTAAGCAGGGTTCGACTCTGTTGGTATCAATTGTATCCCTCCAAAAAAGTAAGTTGCAATTCTAGCCCCTGCTATTGCTGCATGCCATTGAGTTGATTTTGACTCTTAGCAGCCTTGTATAGGGTTTGGTACTGGTAGGCCATGGAGTTGTTTCCAACTCATAGCAACTCTGTGTAGGATTTCTGAGGTGATAAATCTTCATGGGAGCAGAAACCCTCATTTTTCTCCTGAGGAGCAACTCATGGATTTTAATTACTAACCTTGTGGTTAACAGTCCAACACATAACCCACTACTCTACCAGGGCTCCTTCCTAGCACCCATAGCTATAGATAAAATTTTTTGTGGAAATACGTTTCCCACACAGGATACCACTAAAGTGGGGTGAGTTCTAAAGCTAATACTTTTGAGTTATTAAAAAAACGAGTTAGACAACATATGTGTTCAGGGACATGGTGGGGGCTGGGGGTGGGAGATAGACACCATGTGAGAATCATCTACAAACCAAAGAAGCAAGGAAGATCCAGGACTACCTACAAGGAAGGGATCATCATGCCTGAGATCGTGACTTGGACTTTTAGCTTCTGGAACTGTGAGAAATTAAATTTCTGCTCTTTCAAGCCACCCACCTTTAATATTTCCGTCACAACAGCATTGTTGTGGTTTTTCTGTTGTTGTTTGTTGTTGTTGTCATTAGGTGCCATCGAGTCGATACCAACCCATAGCGACCTTATGCACAGCAGAACAAAACACTGCCTGATCCTGGGCCAACCTCACCACCGTTGCCATGCTTGAGTCCATCGATGCCGCCACTGGCCAATCCATCTTGTTGGGGGTCTTCCTCTTTTTCTCTGACTCTCCACCTTACCAAACATGATATCCTTCTCCAGTGACTGGCTCCTCCTGACAATATGTCCAAAGTATGAGAGATGAAGTTTGGCCATCTTGGCCTACAAGGAGCACTCTGGCTGCACTTCTTCCAACACAGATCTATTGGTTCTTTTGGCAGACCATGGCACTTTCAATATTCTCCTCCAACACCATAATTCAAAAGCATCAATTCTTTTATGGTCTTCCTTATTCACTGTCCAGCTTTCGCATGCATATGAGGTTATTGAAAATATCATGGCTTGGGTCAAGTGCACCTTAGTCCTCAAGCTGACATCTTTGCTCTTCAACACTTTAAAAAGGTCTTGTGCAACAGATTTGCCT